CAAGATGTTCCATTGATTAATTGTTCTGTGAGAAAATTTCTCTTTAATTCTAAATTAGTTCTCTTCTTGATTAGTTTCCATCCACTGCTTTTTGTCCTGCCTCCAGGTGATTTGGAGAATTCTTTGTGGAAGCTCCTTAGATATTGGAGCACTGCTATCATACTGCCTCTAATCTTTTTCATTAAACTGGAAAACCCTATTTCTGCATCTTTATTTGTATATGTTATCCTCCATTCCCATAATCATCTTTGTTGCTGTTCTCTGAATTTTCACAAAGTCAGTATATATTTTTATATTGTGGCAATCAGAATTAGATGCAATATTCTAAGTGTGGTCTTACCAAGACATTATAAAGTGGTATTAAAACTTCTGGTGAACTTGACTCTATTCAGTGTAGGATTGTGTTGTCTTCTTTGGCAGCTGCAGCACACTGCTAGCTCATATTTAAATGACTGTCAACTAGAACTCCAAGATCCCACTCACAATTTAGTACTATTGAGCGAGGTCTCACTTATTCTATATGTATGCATTTGATTTTTCTTGTCTAAATGTAAAATGTTATGTTTCTCTACATTGAATTTCATTTTGTTAGATTGTCCTAGTGTTCATGTCTGTTAAGATCCTTCTATATATTTAGCCTATCTTCTGGAGTATTGGCAATTCCTGTCAGCTTGGTGTCATCTGCAAATTTGATGAGTTCCTCTTCTAGTCTCTCATCTAAATCACTGAAGATAGTGAAGATTACTGGGCGTAAGACAGACCCTTGGGGCATCCCATTGCATACTTCCCTCCATAGAAAAGCACTTTCATTAAGGACTATGTATTGAGTGTGGGCGGTCAGCCAGTTACAAATCTATCTAGTATGTCTAACCCATATTTTGCTATCAAATAGTAGATTGTGGTTAACTTTATCAAATACCTTACCAAAGTCTAAGTAAATTACATTCACAACATTTCTTTGGTCCACTAATTTTGCCACTTTGTCAAAAAATATAAGATTTGTCTGGCATGATCTGTTTTTTTACAAGCCCACATTGGCTTTTGGTTATGATTTTGTTTGTGTTAGATTTTTGCAGATTTGTTGCTTGATTATCTTTTCCAGAATCTTTCCAGGTAATGATGTCAAGCTGATAGGTCTGTAGTTTTCAGGATACTTTTTTTTTTAAGGAAATGATTTCTTATTTTAAATCTGTCTCAGAAAACATCTGATCCTATGGATTTTAATTGTGGAGATAAATTCCACCCAAATTTAGTGGGAATCAACCCCCTCCCAAACCTATCCACTAGAGCTACTACTCAATTTACAGCAATTGGGACCAAACATTTTGTTGTTGAGTTGTGCCAGATTTTAACACTTTTTCGTCATGGCAGTTGTTAAGTGAGTCATGTGATTTTAAGTGGATCCAGATTTCACCATTGATTTAGCTTGTTAGAAGCCGATGAGAAGGCCACAAATTGCAATCATGTGATCCTAGGATGCTGTAACCATCATAAATATATGCCAGTTGCCAATTTGTTGAATTTTGGTTACATGAGTATGAAGATACAACAATGGTCCTAAGTGTGAGGATCGGTTGTAAATCCTTGTTTCAATGTGGTCGTAACGTCAAACAGTAACTAAATGAAGTTTTAAGTCAAGAATTACCTGCTGCTATTAGATTATCCCAACATGTTTGACAGGACATGTTTCCTTTGAAGAACGTAAAAGTGGTGGGAAAAGAATTCTTGGGCATAAAATTATGCCAAGCTGTTCTACTTTCTTAATATCAGTCTGTCCTCAAAAATAATTTAAGTAACCTTCTTACGACTGAAGTCATCTCTTTGATGGCTTTCTGCCTGAGTATACTATACTGTACAAGCATGATATCATATTATTTTAATTCCACTGGTTTATCATTACAAATAGTGCCCTAAGGTTGCATTAAAAGCCAATTACAATTACAAGAATATTTTCAGTTCCAAGCATTAATAATTACGACATGCCAACAAATGTATATCAAGAAGTGTATTATTATTTTTTTGCACTATAAACACAGTGCATTAGGTACACATAGCCATTCATGTTTTGCCTGAAAACTTATGCCCATTCATAGCAACTGGAAATGCAGATGCTATGAACATAATTCCCAACCTGTTGCTTCTTCCAGACGTGCTCTCACTCCATGAGTGCTCCGGGGCCATGGATGGCTACTATAGAAGAAAGAATTGGGACATAAACCACACAATCCAATGAATAACCATATGCATACGTATATGAAATCACTGTACAAGCTAACATGAGTATATCCTGGCATCTCTGCACAAGAAAGCATCTGTATTACCCTTACGTCTCTGAATAAATTCAGATGACAGCTCCATTTCTTCATTCATTTTGGAGGCCAGATGGCATTAGAATCATTTACTTCACCTTGTTGTGTTTAATTACTACAATCAACACACTATTTTCCAAATTAATCATAACAAAGTAATTTCATTAGTAACCCAGCAGGCTATTGAATTATTAGCATCATAACAGTTTGCAAACAATTAAACTTTATTTGAACCTTAAAAATTTGCAGCATGGAATGTTATTCTAGGATCTAATGGCAGTGTAGTACAAATATAGTACAGAGCAAATAAGCAAGATATTATATAAAATATGACTTAAAAAATAACTCGTTTGCAAAAGAACACAAGGAAATATAAGTAAATAATGAGAACAAACCAATTAGCATATATTGCCAAATGGTTCACATTAATGGGGATTTTTTTTTCAGCCTCTCCTCTCCCTTCTCCCAGGTTGTGGCATTTGTCAAGACTTCATAAACAAATATGCTCACCCTTTTCTTTTAGATTACAGTATGTCTAGTTAAAAGATATGAATATAGTACCTTTGAAATATCTGCACTGTGAATGGTGTGTTTGCTAACATCAGTTGTGTTATACATGAAAGAAAGGTTAAGAGAACAATAAAATCACTGCTACCTTACATCATCCAATCAATAGGAAAAAATATTTGAAGGGTTTGTCATTGATCAGTTGGCTAAGGACTCCCTCTCCTGGATTAACATGAAAAAGGAAAGGAAATTCTCCAAATACTTTAAGTTGCAAAAAATTCATTTAAACACCCAAAAAAGGTGGTTGGGGGATGGGTTCCTCACCAGCATGTGGCGTGAAAGTCTACTGCCATCTTCTGGCTAACATTGGTAATACAAAAGATTAGTATTATTTCTAGCACGAAGACATGTGTTGGAACAGTGATATAATTCCTGATTTGTTAACAATTGTTGCATGTCAAGTTATATCCATAAACTTGACGAACGATTAATCCTTCTGAAGAATTCTTCATTCACCAATGAATTTTCTTAAAATAATATTGTAGCCAATAGTCTTCAATGGAATTTATAAAACAAAACAAAACAATAAAACAGGAGATAAGCATTGCAATTGAAAGAGGCTTTTATGCCTTGATGCATAGCAGGAATCATTAATCACATGCTAAAACTGCTCTTGGATTATACCACTTCAGAATGCAATGAGGGAGATTTGTTTGAATGCTTCTCTGCGATAGATTAGCGTAGACAGCATTGGATACAGATTTTATGTTGGAGCCTTTTACATGTTTCTTCAAAGCAGACAAGATTTATTTCCTTGTAAGTGCATATAAAATCACAATCTATATTAGATTCGTTTAGGTTCATCTGATTGCAATGTGAGTTTATTTCCCACTCAGCCAATTAACCTTCCCTTTATCATACTAGATTTTTACTAAAGTTTTTATTGTGTGTGTGTGTGTGTGTGTGTGTAAATATTCAGAAAATTAATAGCTTCATTACGTGATAAAACTATTTGCATGTATGTATAGTAAAAGATAAGTAGAAACATAGACAGAAAGAAGTGAATCCTATTAAACCAACTTAATTTTTCAACTTATGAGCATTTTGTATTTTGAGCTATATTAATTTTAGAGGAATTCTGTCTCAACTTGGTCTTGGCCACCATTAATTTAGAAACAGGAAATATATCAAATCACATTGAGTTATGATCTAAATACATATTTTTCTCAAATTTATGGCCTCTGTCCCCAAAAATAATAACTATTAACACTGAACCTTCCAGGTCCTGCTTTTATGAGAGATGCAGATGAAATAGCACAATAGAACTTCAGAGAGATAGTTTAAGTTAGTCAAACTTCATCAAAATATTACCTATGTTAATCTGGAAAAGAAATTAGGAGCATGATATCTGCAGAATTTGGGCATACAGATGGAAGTGATCCCAGGACACAGCCAAAATATGGAAAGAGAATACAAATACAAATCACCCAAATATCAGTTAATTTTCCTATCTCATTATTTGTTATTATAAGCAAACAAAGGTGGTTCGGACCATTGCAATGGTTTGTGGATCAACATGCCTCTTGCTCTATGTAGGAAAAGAAACATGAGTTTTGGAATAAACAGAATAAACTCAAAAGATGGATTTTGTTTAGCATTTTAACTGAACCTATCAAATATATTAATGGCTTCGCAGCCTAATATAATTTTTATTATTGTTGATCATTCCCTATGATCATTGGTTTTTTTCTTAGCTTTCTTCTTAGAGCTAAGGTGTATGTACACCTTCTTCAAATATATTAAAAACATATATATTTCAATATGCTATCACAGTGTATGTATGTATTTATGTGTGTGTGTGTATGTATGTATGTATGTATGTGTGTGTATGTATGTAT